TGATGAAAACTATGGGCACGTTTTGTGGCCGTCATTAGGATATCGCAGGGAACATGCTTTTCCTTTATGTGATATGAAGGTCAGTTTTTTTTTTTTTTTTTTTTTTTTTTTTGTCAATACCCGTTTTACATGGCGGGTGTCATCGATAAAGACGCTTACCCTTCCAGAACACCTGGTCATCTTATCCTGGTACGTTTACCCTTCCATAACACCTGGTAATCTTATCCTGGTTCTTTTTTTAAGGGAAATCTTTCTTTTGTACACATGTTCATATTTGCCCCAGTTTATCGATTATGTATTAGATTTGTGGTTTTGTTGACACCTGTATGCTCTTGTTGTTTTTAGACGGTTTCCTAGATGTCATTTTTACATATCTGAACCACTACGTACATTGCTGACGGTATCCTAAATGTAATATATCTATGCTTCGTATGAAATAAATATAGGGATATGCTCGACTTAAATGTATTGGACATTATGTTGCTCGAACATACAGAAACTTGTAAATCGATCTTAACCCCCATTGTTGAATCATTATTCTTTTAAAGTCCAGTAGTAACGGGTGTTTTCTCATCTTCCAGAAACCTGCTTGCTACAGGCATGGCATATTATAGAAGTTCTCTCGCTTCCATTGTGTAAATATAACCAGAAAGTCTGTCTCTGGCCGAAGTGTTTCACAGCTCTATGTATAAGTGAACAAAACACTATGACATCGAACACAATGTAAGTAAGGATGATCTACAACACTACACGATACAGGACACTACTATTCAAATCAAATTCTTTATTTCATCTTGAGCATATTCATCTCATCGGTTCAAAGGTAAATTTCATAATATACATTCAAAATCAGCACAGGTTGTAAGATACAATCAGCATATGGAATTTATAATTTAAATACAGGTGTTCTTATGAAGCAAGAGCTTGCAAATCAAACTAGTCAGAAGCCAACATAGTAGAACGTAGTAAACATGCATGATATATGAACTAACTTTCCATTCACACATCATACAATACATACATTTACAAAATTAAATGAAGCCGATTTGGAAAGATGCTAAGCTTAAGTTCTTATGATATTTAACCTCGTCGGCAATTTATCGAATCAGATCATTTGTTCATAATTATAAATTATTGGATTCTTCATTTTTATTTTTATTTTTATATGTATTTATCTTATTTGTATATAGCTCAAACAAATCTATAACTTGTGCTTAAAGACTTCGCCTTGTCATCTGTCCCATTGATAGTATAGATAAACAGGTTGCAGTCGTATTTATATAAGGCACTATGTATTTGTATTTAAGTTACTGTGGTCGACTCATCAGTATAAATTAAGGTTTTAGTTATATCTAGTACACCGTATGTAACAGGAAATTATTTTTTGAGGGTCGCTACATATAATGTTCTTGTCCTCACTAAAAGGGAAAATTTGGTATGAAATGGTACAAACTGTTTAATAATTCAGTATCAGAGTGTCGTACACATTTTATCAGATATGCATGGCTGATAACACTCGTTTGTCTTCCGCTGCAAAACAGTTATAACAAGTGGTGCGTGACGTATCTAAGCACACTGTGCTGGGATTCAATTGTGCATTATTAACGCGTCGTGTTTGCTACGGAGCAATGTTTTACCCTGTCGGAGCTACTCCAAAGTCTACAGTACAGTGCTGCATTCACATCTTGGTCATATATATAATTCAGGTGTTTCTTGATAACGTTACATCAATTTTATTTTTTCTCTATCCTTGCTTATCACATGCAAACACGTCAAATAGGATAATTAAATTAAATACATGTTATATGTAAAGATTATGAGATCAAAACGCTACTCTGTAGATAGAGTAGAATAGTCTAAGTTAACAGTTAAAATGTTGAAATAACTTTATTGTAATATTCTGTAGTATTATTAGTATTGTCATTTATCAGTTTACCTTTTTTCTCATAATACAGATACACTTCTCCACAAATCACAAAAGAAACGTAACGCAATCATTTTAGAGTAGGCTTGGTGTTGTCTCCTATTTTTTGTGTTGCTGTGGTGTTTATTAGTTGAAATTGGGCAATCATGCTATTACATTCCATACCTCGCCAACAGCCTCAACCTGACATTAGAATGGTAACCTACGGGTAGGGTGACCTGTGTTGTACTGACAATAGGTCACTGTCACTCTGACACCCCCTGACACAGGCAGGATGTAACTGTCAGTAATAATGATTAAAAACACACGTTCATTGTCACCGAGTAGTTGTGCCATGGCTACGGCTTCATCAATATAGTGAATATTAGTTATTGGTATTGGTTAGTGGCGTATCAATATCTATTGAATTCTACAAGCGAACTTGTAGTTTGAATAGTATATGGAATGTTTTATTTATGTTTATGAAATATGCATGGAAGAGGCAATTAGGTTAGATATGTAAGGAGGGGATAGTCGACTGGCAAAATCAATGTGTGTATTGCTTTTAAAAGCCAAAGCCAAAGCATTCTAAACCCCTTTCCCAGTAACTGGATAATAAGAAATGTTATTAGGGTTTAAGTTAATAAACGAAAAACTTCGCGAGAACCACACTAGAAATTTGTAACGACAACTCGTCACATACAAATGCCCCCCCCCCCCCCCCCCCCCCCACCAAAAAAAAAAAAAAAAAAAAATTTTAAAAAAAGGGGGGGGGGGGGGGGGGGGGGGGGGGGTGAAGTGGAATATTTCAACGATTAAATAGATTTGACGGTAGTATAAATGTAATTAATTTCTGCAGGGGCCCCACATAGATAATTTTTGTGATAAAGGAATAAATAGTGTCATTTAAAGATAAAAACGGTTTTAGGGAGTAGTGGATAAGAGGGTAATATTGATACTTTCTCCAGAGACCCCGAACTACATGTAAGTGCCTCAAAAGTATCTTCGTGGGGCCCGTACTCATGAAACTGAGCACAATCTCCATGCTTATGCATGATAACAGATTCATTACTACGGGCCCTGAACGTTTTAACATGCTTGTTTAAAGGTTGGCATGACATTTAGTTTTCTTGTCATAAGAATAATTCTAGGTTTTTACATACCGCTTTAGCACATCCGAGCTCGTAGGTCGTCTCAAAGCGGTTCACAATTTTTATCCGTGGTTATAGGGACTTTGCAAATAGCCAATATTTTTCTCAACTCCATGGGGAGCATACAGCCGGTGCTGCCGTTTCTGCGCTCACAGCTAGCATTCAACATCTTTATCACTGCATAACCACGTACTCATTTACAGCTGAGTAGACTGGAACAAGCGGAGTAAAGTATCTTGCTCAAAAACACAACACAGTGCCATTTTTCGAATGCCGAGTGAATACACAATGTAGCTATTACTTATGTGTGCCTATTTATCTATCTAAGTGATGCGCATCCATCAAAAGAGGTTTTATAAAAGAACTGTTATGACAACCAATGTGTCTTAGTGTGACTATCACCGCAGTGCAAATACAATTGGTGTTTTTTTCAGTACCACTTATTCCTAACACTATTTAGAATATAATATCGTTATAGCTTTTGTTTACAAACCAAATATTTACCATTAAGCCTCGTTTCCATTATTCAATATGTCCTCTGTTGTTCCTATCTAATAGCTTTACTGACATTAACCTAGTTAGACTTGTTATTTATTGTGTAGTTGACCCTGCCACCCCTCGCGACTGGAGCAAACGACTGAACTAATGAGCTCCATTGTATGTTTGTATAACGGACCTTATGTTTATATATATGTGTCAACAAGGGTTTGTCAATGTCCCGGTTCATAGAGACACAAGCCGTGGATTTCCCCTTGACTTAGTTCTTTTTAAGTGGCAGATTAAAACTAAAAATATGGCCCTGCTAACAAGAATATAAACAAAACAGACTATGTACTCGAACCCGCGCACTCTGATGTAAACACACATACTCTAACCAAATCGAACGCGCACACGTCTGACTTCAGACAATTCAATCCATGCCACCGCGATATTAACCAGGCTCCATAGTAAGGTCTGGATCATAAAATGCAAAGCAATGGCTCTTGCAAGACATGGTTGGTTGACGGGTGTTTCGCCTACATGATTCCACCCATGCGGGTTTCATCTCACTGACGGAAGTCGGTGTTCTGTCGGCTTGCAAGACACAGTTGAGGGTTAATTTATCGTGCGTACATGACAAGGTCTTCCAGGAAACTTAGTGCGCAGGAGCAGTGAGAGGAAGAGGTCAGGTGTCAACAAGATTCGGGCATGCATGTCTGAGGTCAGCGTTAACGCCACAATACGAAATACCTACAGTTCACACAGGTTATATGGACAAACACATTTCGTCACTAAACCTTACATATGATATAATGGTGATTGACAACCCTAGTTGACATAGATCTTTACATCAGTCGTCAGTGGTCAGCGGTCTAGAAGTGAACGTGTCCTGCAGCACACTACTAATGTTTTTTTTTTTTTTAAACATGCCTATCCGCTTTATGTAATTGTTCAATTACTTAAATTATAATAGTGTCTAACTAGCTAATAGACATGTAAGCTGTTTGTATGCAATCCTATTTGTTGGAAATTCCAATAAAATTCAATATTTGTATTCGGTTAAAACAAACCATGAACCTATGTATCAACCATTTTGAATTAAATGTAAACCATTTTTAGCAAAAGTTATTTAACCCGCCATATATTATCGTAAATCTTTTCAACCAATCAGCAAAGGCAATGAACACTCATAAGAGTATCAAATCTTACGATTACGTTTTTTCTTGGAATAATTTTTCAGGTGTTTTGGTGTTTTAATGCATAATGAAATTGTCAATGTTTTTGTTATCTATTTGAAACATCTCTTTAAATTGGAGCAGATTGCTCTTAAATGTCGACGATTAATTAGCCAGCCCTGTTGCTCTCTCTGAAATGCTATATAGATTTCGTCAAGCTCCTGTGCATATTTCCCAGGGATATATGTTGCGTACACAGTAAGATGATCCATACAAAATGTATACCATGGATCGAAGTACACGCCGAACGTATACACCGGGTGTTGGCAATTGGCAATTATATGTTAACTGTTAAAGAGTCCGACACAATAACTTGGATTTCAGTATTCACATGGCGTATTAGTGCCTGTTATGAATGCTTTTTGAAACAGGTGGTATTTCCATACTGCCACAGCCGCAGACAAACGATACAACATCTTAATACAAAGACATGGAAGTGGAATTAGTGGAGGAAAGTCTATGTGACAAAATGGACGAAATAATTCACATAAATTTGAGAGGGACGAGATTTTCTACAGTAAGATCAACGCTGAGTCGGCTTCCTGTGGCTATAACTGAGGATAAGAGGGGCACTTATGACGTGCAAAACAAGGAGTACTTCTTTAACAGGAACCCACGGATCTTTCACGAGATACTTGATTACTGTGAGACTGGTCGCCTCCATCTCCCTGAGAACGTGTGTTCCCAGAGTAGTCGTGAGGAGCTCTCCTTCTGGGGAGTCCCTCAGGACTGTATCCAGCAATGCTGCTGGAAAGCCTTCTATAAAGTGGACGATGAAATGGACGTCCTGGACAAACTGCTCGATTATCTCCCCTTGGACACAGACTTCACACGCGCTCAATCCGGGGTCCAGAGTTCAGGATGTGGGAACTTCCAGGGAAAGCTTTGGCGATTCATTCAGGGCTGGAGCTCTTCCCTGGCTGCCAAGGTATATTTTTTATATGTTTGTGTTAAGCTTAGAGTTTTTTCATGATAGTTTTCCTTGTTTCGGTTGCTTTCAATATAATGTCGGATCTGATGATTCATGCATTCATTAAGCCTCCGCGAACATGTACTTGTGACAATTCAATACATCATTTATTCATTAATTCTTTCAATCAACCATTCACTCATCGGAGAGTTCGTTTATTGTACTAAATTATTGCAGACATGTTATAAAAACAGTTCATTTTTCATAAAATAGTCGTAAATGTATAGAACATACAGTGTACGACTAGTTTTCCCCCATTGTCTTTGTTTATCTTCGTGTTCATTCACATCCCGGTTCGCTTCAAATTTCAGATATTGAAATGTCAAGAAACTGACAGTATTAAAACTGTTATGTGTGCAATGGTTACGATATCCATTTAGTAATGTATGGTCAACAATATCCATTTAGTAATGTATGGTTAATAATATCCATTTAGTAATGTATGGTTTATAACATCCATTTTACTTACGAGTGTCCATCCAATAATATACAGTGTGTTTATTTATAGTTTTTTCTAAACATTCCTCACAAGTCAGTGACGCAATTTGTCTATTTCACAAGTTACTCTAAGATACAGAGTTGTACCCTAATTTAGATTTACCGAAGCTGTAGTAAGATTTCTCCTTTAATTGTTGAGGGGCTCCAGTTTATATTTGTCTTTAAATTGTTTGTAAGTTCTACTACTAGATAATCGTGAGTTTCTACTTTTCTTGCCGATTTTATTTCTCATGAAGGAAGAGTTCAAATATTACTATTTCTACGCATGAGTATAGTCTACTTGATTTCCTTTGAGCGCGTTGGTCGGACTAAAACATTGTTTTGTTTGTGTGTCCTAGCCAATCTTAGTCCTAGGTTCACATTATATATTCATCGTCTTCAGAGTGTAGGGTATATCTGCTATCTTCATATCTACAATGTAACAGTGGTCCTAGGTCTTGACGTTCCTTTTTAATTATTGACTGAAAAGGGCAGCTAACAATTTACATTTCCTTAAAGTATCATACAACACAAGAAAACGCATTTGTTCACAGAACCATAGAAATGTGTTGCAATATATGCACGATATTATAAATAAAACATAACTGTTTGATTTTATGTCAAACGATACACTGTTGAAATTACAGAGGAAGGATACGTATACGATATTCTTCCGTTGTTTAGCTACTATGCTAATGGCTGACATAATTCAAAGGTCAGTTGAGTATAGTGTTGTCAAGTCAAAACAACTTAGCAATCAATGTCCTTGTTTTACTTAGCACATATCAGTGGCAAGTCGATGTTACCACCGGGCATTAAGACGGTTTAAGTTCTAAGAAGATAAAATTATAAGATTATTCATGCCCAGTAGTGTAGAATATGGACCTTCCATCCTACAGATATCAAAATGCGGAAAAACCCGATGCCCTGAGCACAAAAGGACATTTTCTCTCTCATTCCAATCAATAGAATTAGCTTACCACACCCTCTCTAAAACATGACGTAATTTTCGCATCGCGAGACAGCGGTATTGGAATTTTTCGATTTCATGACGTAATGCATTCTTGTCAAATGGTGATGGCACGCACATGAAAGTGGTAGAAAGATAGATATGTGTATGCCTCTTTCTTACGATGGGCAGTTCCGTCATATACGAACAGAACCAAATAACCAATATGATTAGTGTGTTTGGGCATGAAAAATAAAAGAAAAAAATAAACCCCTACTGTACTAATGTGAAAGACTACCATGGACTTACAGCTTAATTCTAAAGAATATACAGCGTCATAACCTTGTTTAAAAACACATAGCATGAACGTATTATTCAATCGGAAAGCAGTTCACGATGATTATCTATCCTTACCGTAGGCTGTCACTTTTTCCGGAAGTATTAATTTAGTTGTTATCACTTCAGCCGTCTCTCCTGATATCTACAATGTAACATATATAGCATAATTACGCAGTCACGTGCAGCTGTGGATCGCGCGACAAAGGCATATCACGCATACAGTATTAATGTTTTAGTGCCATATATCTTCATATTAATCAAACGTATCTAATACCTGTGGTCATGTAGATTTCACATGTATACAGTTGTTATGTCAGCATATGATTATTTTTTTGATAAGTTGAAATAACTAATTGGCAAAGTCGAGTTAATTATCTTGACATCTCGATAAAATAAAATCAAACACGAACGCTCGAAACCCCTTTGGCTCTTTCCTGTTCACAGAGCATTATAGATATACAGAACGTTTCAGCGCCATTAACTTTGGCTGTGATATAGATAATGTATATGCCCGTTTGCTATCATCTTATTCTTTTACATGTTAATATATCCTCGATTGATTACCAAGCAAAGAGGCAAAGAGTTGCATTCGCCCAGCACTTAACAGTCTGTTAGTAAAGCCTTTAAATATCGAGACTGTCACACACAATCAAAATGAAGCATAATCCCTAAAATAAAGCTAGATATAATAATGTAGCATATACATCTTCCATTTTGGTTATTAATTTACTTATTCTATTCCAGGTATGGAAGGTTGTAATAGTAGTGACGGTCTTGGTGTCCCTGCTCGTTTTCCTGCTAGAGAGTGAGATCGATTTCCGGGATGTATTCCCGCTCACTACTGTACTTATAAACACAACAGGAACGGATCAAGATAGCACCACTGTTGTGCCAAAAACCATCACGGGACACCGACCTAAAGCATGGCTGGCACTAACAAACGCAGTCACCAACTTGATTCTAACATTGGAACTGGCATTGCGAATCGTCTCGTGCCCGAAAAAGAAACATTTTTTTGTGAGTTTCCTTAACATTTCTGAGATCCTAGCGTGTATCGGGGTTTGGATAGCTCTGTACCTTGATAACTTTACAGTGACCTTTGACGACACTGGTAAACGAAAGCCGTCCTACATCTTCGTGTTTCTACTCTGTCTATTCCGTGTGTTTCGTATATTTCGGTTTTTCGTCAATAACTCCGGAATGCGAATCCTGATGCTGTCGCTTCGCTCGAGCTCACGAGAGTTGTGTCTGTTGTTTGTGTCATTTGTCAGTTTTGCCGTGATGTTTGCAACAGTCATGTTCGTATGCGAGTACAATGTCAAAACGTTCAGGAACATATTTGTCGCCATCTGGTGGGCTTTTATCACCATGACAACCGTTGGATATGGTGATTATGCCCCGTCCACGCCCCTAGGGTTCTTTTTTGGTGGTGTGTGCGCTGTATTTGGAATAATGTTGATCGCATTGCCCGTAGCAGTAACGTCATCAAACTTCAATGACTTCTTTAACTACAACAGATACCGTTCTCGGCATCACGACCATGTGAAGAAGTCACGTGATCGTAGATGTGCTGGTCCATTGCCAGGCGTACAGGAAGGCATAAGGTCCAACAGCGTCACGAAAACTTTAGATGATCAGGCAGTGATATCAGCCTGGAACTGCGGTGATTTGAAACCATCCAAGACAAGAGTAATTCCATTTGACACAAAATGTCAATAACATAGAAACTAATGAAACACCATATGCTGAAATTAGGCTTACCACTGCAACATGCAAAGTCGCAAAGACTAGGGAATAATCATTTTTACATGGAGGAATGTTCCTTATAAATAGAAGATGAAGAATAAATAAAAATTCTTTTGACTTCAGATAGTTCCCTTGACAGCATGTTCACTTTTCATTTTTATTATTCCTTGATGGGAACGTTGGTATAATGACGGATTGCCAGTGTGAAGGGTACAGTATTATTCTATTCATCGGATGTATGTGTGCCCATCGTAATTACCAATGTTTCTGGAACAAGTAGGAATGAGAGAGGTAAAACTGGGTCAGCATTCTTTTATCAATAAATGTTTCTACTTCCCACAACTAAATTCAAACACAATGCATCATTACAAAATGTAGACGACAAAGATTCAGACATATTTACAAGATCACCATTTATCAAAATAACTGAAAACACTGAATTCATCTCAGATGACTTCCGGCTGCCATGTACATTGTAACTTTATAAACATCCTGATATTTTAGTTGTGTGTGTGGTAAACAAGTGTTCTGTTAAGATTAATATAACATTTCCTGTCATTGGCATAAGACAGAAAATTCTTACCCCGAGGGTTGAGGTTGTTCTGTCTCACTACCAAAGTGGGGAACAATAAAAAAAAATCCGAAATCAAACACAATTGGTAATTTCATAAAATGCAAATGTAGATTTCATAATGTCGTTTTTTCGGAGTTCATTGGTCTGCTAATTGAATTTCACTCCATTGTCTTTTTGCGAATAAATGTGTCTATTCTAATTTCATACAGCTATATTTGATAGTATGTAATGCCTATTCAGATAGTTTTAAATAGTCTCATTATATTTTTGCTGTTGCCATTTTATAAGAATATATGTTGTTTTTATTTAAGACGTTTTCTTATATATATATATCTTATCTTGTAATACGCACAAAGGGTTCAAACATATTCACTAAAACTGAGTTATCATCGTTCTGTTAAATCTGACACGTAACCAATAGTATTCTTTGCAAAAAATGTATATGACCAGACATTGGGTCAACTTGATAACTACCCGATAATCATAGACAATTGAACCTGTTAACATTTATAAGTAAGTGACAATCTTGATAATCGAGACTATTAATCCAGGAAAACATATTTCCCTAAGGACATCATACAAAGCTAGATTATGCATCCCTAAAAACACCATGCACATCTAAAACACACTTTGATATGATCTTATACACGCTAAACATACTTTTATGAGGATATCCATTAACGGTACAGTTCTGTTGAACGCCGTAACTGACATAAGTGACTATTTCCGTTACATGTGCTGGCTATTTCATTATGTAATTTGGTGTTCATTATATAAGGTGGTTTTTCTTCGTTATGCAAAATTTAACGTTGTGATACCATTATATTGATCGCAATTTCAATATAATTTAAATCATCCTGTATGTGTCGTAATTGCAGTTTACATTTATATACGGTAGTCATGTCTTGCATAAAGTTGTCATTTGATTCTACGAAGTTGTCATTTCAGTATGATGTTATAATTACTCCCAAAAGCTAATGTTTCGTGTTTATATGTATGCGACTCTGAATAAAGTTTCTTGTATCTTGTATGATAAAACGTCTATCATATGACAAGTTCAATAAACTACTCTGCATCAGCTCTCTGGTCTCTTGGGGTGATATGGGAGTCTCAGAATGATACAGAGTAGGATATGGAATGGTCATATGATTAATGCAACCTTTAAATATTGCCATAATCCTTATTACCCTAGAGTAATACAACAACAACACCAACAACAACAACAACAACAACAACACCAACAACAATAACAACAAAATAAAAAATAAATAACAAAATAAAATAAAAAATAATACGACCACAACTGACCTGGCAGTCAAACAAATTAAGGAATATATAGAAGTGATAGAACTGGAAGATAGGTATGTAATCGTAGAACAGACAAAAACAAAAAAAAAACACAAACCCAAACCTTGCAACCATCAATGAAAACACGATACGTACGGAAAAAAACCTATAAGAAAATTATAGAATAAGTTTAACAAAGTAAGAAAACACAATATGAATAACTTCATTCTCGGAACTAAATGTAGAGATATGAGTAAGATAGCCTGAAGCAAAAGAAAGTATAATGAATACGGAAAACCTATAAGAAATTTATAAAATAAGTTTAAAAAAAAAAAAATAAGAAAACGCAAAATCAACAACCGCAATTTCGGAACTATTGTTCATTTAAAGATATGCGAAAAGACAAAATTACAACATATCTCAAAGTAAAGAATAAATTTAATGCATATATTATCACATTATTGGTGACCATCTTTATACTGCTACCTTATTTATTTCTCATTTCTTACAGAGTCAGCTAAATACCATGCCTTACACATGACGTCTAGGCTCAATGATTATCGAGATCCTCTGTCTGTGACAAACGTGCAAATAAAACACTGACACAGGAAGAAGTGATCAATCTATTAAACACACACAACACTAACACAGGAAGAAGTGCTAAATTTATTACACAAATACAACACTGACACAGGAGGAAGTGCTGAAGTTATTACACAAATAAAACACTGACACAGGAAGAAGTGCTAAAGTTATTACACACACACAACAATGACACAGGAAGAAGTGATCAATCTATTACCACACACAACAATGACACAGAAAGAAGTGCTTAAGTTATTACACACACACAACAATGACACAGGATGAAGTGCTAAAGTTATTACACATATACAACATTCACACAGGAAGAAGTGCTAAAGTTATTACACATTAAAGTACCACAGTGTAAGTAACGTAACATTGCAACAATTCGCGAAGTTTTCGAGACCGTTTGGCCACACATACATTGGGACAGGAACACCATCAATGTTGCTCTGTAAATAATAATAGAGGTTCATTAACGGTATAAAGGCAATGCTCCAATTACATTTGCATATGTCATTGTTAAATGGACTTAGGCTCCCGACCTAGGAGATTTATTCCATTAGGTGCATCAAGATTGTTAAAAGACTTTTGACACCTACTGCACGTTGAGTAATCTCCAACCAGAAAGCGTACTGGCTATCATTGTGAGATCAGCCCTTCGCCACTATGGTACCTATCTAAATGTTTCCCTAATCTCGACACAACGTGTAAAAACGTTGCAAAGCTATGGGGTATTCCACCTAATAGCGAACTATCATGTGCCCAGTGCAATATCTTTGCAGAAGATGCAGTTGCGCATTGTATATTAGACTGCCGTAGTCCCACATTGCTAACTCTACGTGATGAACTTTTCACCAAGATAGTCAACGATTATCCGGTGAATGTGTATGTTGTTCTTGCTAACTCATGTAGGGAGGTGCAAATTGCGACATTCCTCGGCAGTCCATCTGCTGCCATGAAAGACATATTTGTTAATGAGGACCGCCTTTTCGCATCTTTTGCAAGAGATTGTTGTATTTATGCTGAAAAAGTATCCCTTCTTACATTTAATTAACGACGATAGTCTGCCAGACATGTAAATCATATGCATTCGTATTATATCTGGTTCATCCTGGCAATTTGACAGTCCTGTCGTTACATACATGTTCCCTTGCTGTTTGATATAGTCCTGTGTATGTCTTTATTTATCGTTGTGTACCTCATATATTGTGTAATCATGCAACTTTTTTTGTTTGATTCCACGGATTTTTTTTTTTCATTTTACCTTATACTTATGTCCTTTGTGTATCTATCATTGTAACCCATATATATGTCATTTGTAACTCTTCAAATTTGGAGGAATAAAGATATGAATGAATGAATGAAAAGATAAAGTCACAGCAGATAATATAAGACAGACCTGGACCAGGTCCAGTACAACGTAGTTTCATTAGGGAATATGATTTCAAATCCAAACTGCACAATACACCAGAGTGTGGTAACGGGCTCAACCAGCTGTAGCAATCATGGCTGACACATGATAAATAGCTAAACAACTCGATCGAACTAGTTAGTATAACACAGACATCTGACTCAGAAATAACTAACCGTCCACTGTTATGCAGAAGTTAACGTCATCATGTTTTTACCAAAAATAAAACATATTACATCTCAATTACAATCCACAAGGATAGTATTATAACGTCACAAATTCATGGGAACTGCATAACTTGATATGCTCTATGGTACAATAACGGGTTATAAAATGTAACAACAAAAGGCTACAATGTGTGTAATATAACACCGCACCCCTTGGGCATGTGTTTACAGCTACAGACAGAATAGTATTACATATATATATATAAGGTTATCTTGGAAATGTTCCGCCTTTGTATCAGCAAATGACAAGGGACGTCACTGGTACCCGGCAATGAGTTGATGTTTTGGTTTACATGTTTTAATTGCTAGGAGAGTTCTACCCGGTGTCGTATAACAAACTCTTCACTAAACCCTAATCAAACAATACCAATATATGAGTAATGAAACCCATTAGATCTGATCAACACGGTAAATGTGTAATAGCTTTGTCATCACCTATGCAAATAGAATAAATATATGGTGACATGTTTCTGCAATACCAAAAAACTCGATATTTACCCATCGTTTTATTTACAAATTTCACAATCGCCAACGCGCGCGAAAGTCCCGTTTTCCTCCTTCATTGTCAATCCCTTGAAATATCGCCTTACCTGTTGAAGTCACAATTTAATGAACAAATAATGACACGATAACGATGTTTACAATACATTTCAGGAGTACGGATAAAATCGAACTCGCACGGAAAGAACAATTTACTTCGACAGCAACCCAGGTTGACGTTTTATTCTTATTTGTAACTAGCGATCACTTTTAGATCTATCGTGACAAGAGTTTTAAATTGCGCCTTTATCGTTGAATTTTTAAGTTTATCGAGTAACACACAACAACTCTTTTATGACGACATAACATGACTTGAATTTGACCTAGACTCACACTGTGTGTGTCGTCGATGAGGCAGAAGACACTTACCTTTTCGAAACACATGGTAATATTTTCTTTATACTTTTGACAACGTAAATCTTTCCTTTGTTCATATTTTGCCGTAGCTTTATTGATGTTGAGTTCGAATAATGGTTTCGTGACACATTGGTTTTCTCTTTTAGTTTAATAATACTATAGGTTTCTAATTATTATAACTCGAACTATTGCGACCTATCGATTTCCAGATTACATTCATATAATAGATACATTTCTAGTCAATGCATTGCTCACCAGCGTACATGTTCGACTATACATAAATTAACACTATCTACATATGTGTAAGAAAACTACAATTTTTATTTTGTGTGCATTCCATTGTTTTGCTATAGTTACAGCTCTTTTCTAATTTTGATAAATATTTTAAAGTCTGTTAAATATATACTGTTTTTATAATTTGATAAGTCATCACGTGTTTAGTTATAAATAGACTGAAAGTTACTTGAATTAGACAGAAATAGACAGCCAACTGTTGCTTTCAGATTAGTTTGATAAGGGTGGGCAGGGTTAAGTATTTTACTTAAATCATTTTCGTGATGGGTGGAGCGCAAACAAACTAACTCTCTTTTACGTAAGCAACTGCCGTTTTATGCAAACAGAGCAAGTGGAAGGTATGCATTTTGACAATTTATTATTAAAAAAACAACATATGGACATGTTTATAGTACCTTAGATCATCGGTGATCAAATGCATTCATAGATTTTACAGAAATTCTCGTGACAGATGATAAACCATCAGCTTAAGAACTGTCCAAACGCCTATAAAATAATAATTTATTTTACAACAATTACGAAACAGGTTTTCCCAGCTTATATTAATTACAGTTGCTGACTCTGAAGGAAGGGCGCATATTATTTTAATGTGGGTTGAAACCTGTGTATAAGGTGATGACGGCGCCGCCCACCCCTTGCTCTTACCTTTTTGATGTTCATGGATATCGTTCCTGTTGGTTTTGGTGTTTTTTAGATATAGTTCCTATCTATCACTATTGCCTTTGATCTCCAATTATTCTCTCTGTTGTTTCTATTCTGCTCTTCCTATCTCATTTAGTACCTTTACGCGATAATTAATGTCGTATTACGCCATCGCTATGTTACTCACTGTACAGAAGGACGAACAATTGAAGCTCGTGTAAAACACAAAAATATCCTATGACTTCTCACAGTTATTCACATTACATCCAAGAAAACGAAAAAGCAGCAAAATAAAGACGACATTAGAAAACTTATTTAAAAATGTTCTTGTTCTACATCTCCATAAAACTATGGTCTAGTTTAACACGAATCGTCCGGCGATCTTAATACAACGTTATTTCTGATGAATGTTCAAAAGCATCGACAAACTACTGCTGTCATTATAATGTGAATTTCCAGGCACAAGAATCTAATGGATTCAGTGGAAGACTTCCCCACAGACGAGGGGCAAAACGAAGTACGCTGACACGGATTCACTTTTGTAGTGGTTTTAATGCGTATACCTATCATTAATAAAACAGTAGTTTAAATTCCAAAAAGAAAACAAAACACAAGTCTCTATTCCGTCATCCCAATGTCTTAGCCAAGCTCAATGGCGAATTCAGTATGTAGTTTTTTAGGCAGACAAAGCAGCAAATAACTGATATTTGTCTGCAAACAATTTTACATTTCCTATAGTTGAAAAGTAAATAAGCTTGATTGGTATCTAAGGAAACCATTTCTAACATTTTCCTTATTTTTTTCAAACGATGAAATACTAGCTTAGTATGCTTCTTTATCACAATCTTTCCGAACATCAGATATCAGAGATAGACCTGCATCGTTTGTATTGGATTCCAGAACTTTGCAATAAACCTTATACATTTTATCGTTAGCTCTGCTAGTTGCTGAATCAAGTCATTGTCCAAACATCGTCTTACTTCCATTAAGTGAATGTGAGTTTTGAAGACCTCTAACATTTTTTTCAATTTTGAACATCCTCTTTCCTCTCATTTGACTTCCCCACACAGCATACTTCAATAAAAAATTCTAACAGAAGGGAAGCTTTCTATCTTTTAGTATCAGGGGTACTGGCTTCTCTGAAATATGTTTTATGCAGGTGGTTGCAATGCCATAAAGAAGTATTAAAACGACAAACAAATGTAAAAATACAAGACAACACTGGGGTGTCAACAAAGCCATAATTCGAACTCAAAATTGATCATTTAGGGCAAACTATGAGCAAAGGAAAGACCTAGATAGAGACCCATGAACAGTAGTAGGAGATTAACACTATGTGTCCTGGAAGGTTCAGCATTGTTTGCTTCTAAGTTGTATCCAATTACAAAACCACAAGGCACTCAAATGAGCATTATCAAAATCACCTTCATATTACACAAAGTTGGCGACCATGAAATGTGTCCAACGTCTTTATCAACCTGCATAGGAAACTCTACAGTGTAAGTTTGTCCTTCAGCAGTCAACATCGTTCATGCAAGTCGTGATAGTTGAAGCAATTGCTACTGCAACATGTAAACGCCGTAGGTAAGGGAAGCAGGGATGTTACTACCAAGAAAGGATAACTTCACGATTGGAAAGTCGAAATCGTCCCTCTTATCGTACAGCTTAGTAATAAGCTGTCCCTGTTGGTCATGTTGTCAGTAAATATCGCAAAAGCGAAAGAGAAAAAACGTTCTTGAAAGAGAAAAAACGTTCTTGAATGTGTTACCTTGGAACAGACTAACGATAATAATTGGTAAACATATTCTTTGCTCTGAGATTTACATGTGCAACATGCAACACTACATCTTGATAGGTTGACTGAGTGATACGATACCAACTTTTGGGCTTTGAATTGTATTGATATTGGTTATTTTGGGGTAACCTTGAAAATTACCGCTTGCTCGCATTTCATAATTTATAGTAGGTATACAAAATGCAATGCGTTAAAAAAAGTGCTGTAGAGATGGCTCTAGGAAGTCGCTTCTGTTCAACCAGGAAAATATTCACTTTATATGTAGTTATTTGATTACCTATGTTAACAGGTGTATGACACTCGAGAATTATGTTAAAAAATCCGAAAAATTCAGAATACATGAATGTATATTTGAGAAAGAGACTCGGTTCATTCGTAGTTTAGGAAACATTTAAATGGCAATAAGAATTCAACAACCTCCATCAAATGTCAGTGAAGGTCTAAGTATTCCGTTCCCACCATAAATATACGCAAACTCATACCAGGAGACAACCTTGAAATGTTTGTATACTGTTTTCACCTGTTTAATTGATTCGTTCTTTAGACAGACTTCTCATTTATCGTCTGAAAGTATTCCCTGAATAGACTTAGTTAAAGATACATTCGAACTTCAACGTATTTAACACCATTTTAATCACCCTACATCACAAAGAAAGTAAGGCCCTAGCGTAAAAGGTAAATAACTACTTTTAGATCGACAGAGGGCAAATCTACATCGAAGTTTGGTCCAAAATATATCCATTAAATACCTATAGAAGTCCAATGATTCAAGTGGCATAGACATCCCAAAGACCACATTTACGTATTCATTAAGTTTCTATATACAGTTTAAAAAAAGAATTTACTGAATCGACATAATACAACAATTTTAGAAAGAATCTAAACGATTTAAGTTCTTATCCTTAGTTGCGACTTTTACCAAGATCGTGATGGATTGTATTTGCTCAAGGCTCGTAAAGAGATAAACTGTGATACCTCCCCTGATAAATGGCGATTTTATTGTACAGGAATCCGGTCGTGTATCGCTATCGTCAGGCCAGGCGGCACTTCCGGTGAAATCAAATCACTAACTCATTTAACTCCTCAAATATTTAGAAAATAAAACATCATTAAATCGACATTAGGAAACACTTGCCTGCGCACCTGTATACGTCAGAGGGGAGTGTTTTGGTTTAAGTCGGGTGTCTGTCAGAACTTTCGGCACTCTCTAGTCATGTTCTGGTGGAACTAGTATTACATATAAGCCTTTTTATACCTGTTTTATTTTACATTACATTTTCAAATATTTTCCAGTATACAAAAAACAATGAGATTAATTTGTATAACATTTGTCATGCTTCTGAGTTTGATAGGAGTGGATAACCTACCTTTACGAGTAAGTATGGCACATCTTTTAAGCACGTTCTACTTAAAGGTGTTTAATGGTCCAATTTCGATATGTTAATATAATTAATTTTCTTGCATTTCGTGTTCAACGAATTTTAATATCATTAAAAATACGATTATATCAAGCAACGACTTGGTGTTTTGATAAAATTAAAAATCCATCTCAATAAATTGTAAGCTTTACGATGTCCATTTCATTTCGATTTCTTTTTGTGAATTAAAGACGAAATGCACCTTAAATTACATAAACAAAACGGGAAATGGAAGCACCTACTTAAAAATCGATTTTGTAGGTGCAAAATGCAAAACGACAACAACAGCGACATGTAATGTAAATATCCATGTAAACAGACATGTGTTAATATTTAATTATTAGAACGAGCAACATAAATACTTTAGTTAAGATTATTGTTACTTCGTTGTTCTAGCTCTTACTATTTAAAGATAAAAGTACCAACTGAAATACTGTTGTTTTTCTGTCTTGTTTTAAGGAGGGGGTATTTTGTGGTATTTATGTAAAGTTTAACATATCATTCATACTTGAACAAAGCGATACCGCTTTTATTTTCTAAAATGTACAATGTTGACGATTATGATTTGAAAACCATCTATGATTCTCAACAAATATGCATGGTGTTGTTTGTAATACTTTTGTCGTAGTCAGTTATACCATGTTGGTAGTATGCATATTATGTAAGTCATTGATACCATGACAAAGGGGTTTACAGACACATTGCATATTTAACAAACGTGACAGTACTTGATGCATACAAGAATTTTCTTCTTATTAATATTCTCACTAAGTCTATTTACCCTATATGTCTTGCATAAGGTAACGAAGTTATTTTCAAGGGGCAAACATTTTGGTGTATTTGTTACAGCTGGACCTAATTAGCAGTAATTTGTTTTCGTAAGGCGCTATTTACTGCATTGTTTTAAACATCCTTCTCACGTTACATCAGAATAATATATAAGTTCCAAAGTCTTTGATTGTGTTGAAATAGCAAATATAGTGAAAACAAAACCCTTGTGAAATATCAGCGTCATAAAGAAGTGTTATCTTGATGTTTACACTTTCTGTACGTCACAGGAAAAACACGTGACGTAAACATACCCTTGTTTGTCTATTTCAGAGACATGCCTATCACCATCATCACCACCACAGACCATTAAGTATGTGAAGCTGATTACATCGTGTATGGCTCGTGTTGTCAGGTGTTTTACTATATATCTATTGTAGAAAATATAAATAAACTATGATAATTAACAGTGTATGTATAACAATTTATATTTAAATAATTTGATTTGATAACATAAAGCTACATTGCTGAAGTTTAAAATGACGTACATCTTGATTAATTTGATATCCAAGAAGATTTTTGTTAACTAACACCAAATAATATACTTGTTCAATAACCCTCTGTCGATTAACAGCCGTCAACGTCCTGGAAAAGTTGCGTTCAATCTCCAACTGGCTTGATGGTAGGCCTGACGCCACTGTATTCGACTATATATATCGTGTCAATATGGGTAAGTAGTTTACCAAAATGTATTGACACATGATCAACGACTAATGCCAATAAATGTTTACCAGATGTCTTATGTAAGTCCTTTCATATGTTTAATAGGCATCTGTATGTTTGTAAAATAGCTTATATGGACTTAATGAGATATCCTAGATAATATATGGGATATTGTGATAAGTATATGAAATATCTCATGGCATTCTTTTTTAAACATACCATTTATAATGTTATGAACAGAATTTATATTGCTTCTTAACGAAGGAGCAATTGGTTTGAAAAAAATGGAGTTAATTTCTATCAAACAGCACCACCTATTATGAAAATTGATTCACTTTAAACGATAAATAGAACTATGTATAGGGACTCAAAACGATGGTCTTTACGAATACCAATGCGTCTGATTTTTTTACCATTTCATCAAACAGGAGCCGGATTAAATCTTTACCAGGGAGACATCGACGGCTTCAATCCAGATGTGAGTAAACAACCTGTTGATTTAATCATCTAAATTGTCTAGAGCTAAACTATCTAGATCCTGATAAACCTCAGCATGAATTCTTGAAATACAGGCAGACGTGTGATAGCGTAAAAAAGGCAAAAACATTAAATAGACTAAAATCGTCCATCAAGATTTGAAGTGGAATAAATGGGATGTTGAGTTTGAATAAAATGAAATATTTTTCTACTGTCAAATATGTTTCCTCTATCCACACTTTCGTCCATTCGCCCCTTTACACTACCATACCTCTTAAAATTGAAGGAATGCCTTCGGTCAACAAGGTTAAAATTCAATGTACAGAGGACGATGATGCTTAGTTTGGTGACAAGATTTTCCAGCAGGCTATAGGCATGCATATGGTAACAAACTGCGCTCCTCGTCTTTTGTTTTATACGAACCTGAATTCATTGATGAGCTTGACATGACTGGTAACAAAAAACCTAGACAAGTCCTTCAATTTCACATTGAGATATATCGACGATGTGCTGTCCTTGCATAACAACATGTGCATTGACCACATCTATCGTGTATACCCTCACTTGGCTCTTTTGTCTCATCCGCTTTCCTCTAGTATAGTCAAAACATGTTTAACATGGACAGTTAGTACAAAATTTACGTTAAGCAGTTTTTCCTTTGTTTTTGTGCCGACGCCCTGATTTCAAATCCAATGTCATGAACTATTTTGCATTTTATATGAAGATTCGAATATTGTGTATCAAAGGAAATGAAGGAAATCCCAAGGCTATTTAGACCGACGTGTACTTATTACCCCTGCTTGAAACATGTCATCACCAGTAGTGTCAATAATTGTCTTCTAGGTGTCAGTTTAACTGGTTTGCTGTCATCTGTATCACTTCTAATTTTTACGGTATGCAAATAATGTAAGTCAATATCTGTTTCTGCAAATAAGTCTCTGTGTTTAACATGACATTTTGAATGCCTGAACTCCGTCATGTCGATATTGTCTGTCGCCGGAAGGAATCATAGAATAAAAGTGGATGACAGTTAACAGATAGTGTTCGTTTAACGCTTATACTTTTCCCACTGTAGGTCTCATTTTTAATTGAAATTCATTGTTTGAGTTATTGACAACTAGAAGTGATAGCTTCGGCTTGTTCAAAATTTTGCTTCTGAGCGTTATACCATTACTTCGAGTTCTTGAGTAATTTCACTAAGATATTTATAGTTGATATTTCACATAACCCATTTGGAATGCACAACATGTCCTTGTTTAACACATCCTATCTAAAATGCCCGTGTGTTTCACATTCCCCACACCTAACACGTGTATTTTGACTATATAACATGCCCGTGTGTCTCACATCACACACACCTAACACGTGTATTTTGACTATATAACATGCCCGTGTGTTTCACATTCCCCACACCTAACACGTGTATTTTGACTTTAGAACATGCCCTTGTGTCTCACATCCCTACGCCTAACACGTGTATTTTGACTATAGAACATGTCCTTGTGTTTCAAATCCCTACGACTAACACGTGTATTTTGACTATAGAACATGTCCTTGTCTCTCACATCCCTACGCCTAACACGTGTAATTTGACTATAAAACATGCCCTTGTGTCTCACATCCCTACGCCTTACACGTGTATTTTGACTATAAAACATGTCCTTGTGTCTCACATCCCTACGCCTAACACGTGTAATTTGACTATAAAACATGCCCTTGTGTCTCACATCCCTACGCCTTACACGTGTATTTTGACTATATAACATGCCCGTGTGTCTCACATCCCTACGCCTAACACGTATATTTTGACTATAGAACATGCCCGTGTGTCTCACATCCCACACACCTAACACGTGTATTTTGTCTTTAAAACATGCCCTTGTGTCTCGCATCCCTAAGCCTAACACGTGTATTTTGACTTTAGAACATGCCCGTGTGTCTCACATCCCACACACCTTACACGTGTATTTTGACATTAGAACATGCCCGTGTGTCTCACATCCCTACGCCTAACACGTGTATTTTGACTATATAAAATGTCCTTGTGTCTCACTTCCCTACGACTAACACGTATATTTTGACTTTAGAACATGCCCGTGTGTCTCACATCCCCCACACCTAACACGTGTATTTTGACTATATAACATGCCCGTGTGTCTCACATCCCCAAAACCAAACACGTGTATTTTGACTATATAACATGCCCGTGTGTCTCACATCCCACACACCTAACACGTGTATTTTGACTTTAGAACATGCCCTTGTGTCTCGCATCCCTACGCCTAACACGTGTATTTTGACTTAAGAACATGTCCTTGTGTATCACATCCCCCACACCTTACACGTGTATTTACCTGTCGAACATGCCCTTGTATCTCACACTACCCACACCTATCACGTGTATTTTGACTATCTGATATGAATCATTGACAAATATTTTTTCTTTGGTTCACATAGAGAGGACAATGGAGGAATAAGTGGGATAACCACACATACAGGCATGGCTGTCGTTTACATACGAATTAAATATATCCAAGCTTAAATTACCAGAATTGTTTCTTAATTGACATAGGGCAATATTTTAACTGTTCTGATACCATGATATCTATAAAAAGAAATACATAAAGATAAAGATAAAGATAAAGTGAGTATAAAATAGTTCTAAAATAATGTAATATCTGTATGATGATAGTTGCATGGTATCTTGGTATAAAATATTTTGACTTTGTCCCCGTTTAAACTTGTGATGATACGTGTCCTTATATTCACGTGTAACGTGAGAGATTTCTCAAGAATTCAGGAAGCAGACGGGAATAAACAGATTGTTTTAAATATATTATAGAGAGGTCTCACAAGCGACTGTGAGACTCCTTACATAAATTAAGGAGGGATGGTGTCAGGCCCTACAGGTTTGTTAGTATCGATATCAAGGCATGCTTAGGATCATTTATTTTAGCAAATATTTCCTTCTTGCATAAAAAATATCCAAATAGATCGGTGCAACTTCGGTGCCAAAATTCGACAAATCTCTCTCAAGTACTTTCAGACTAATACATGTCTGGGATAATTATATTTTATTTTCATTTTCCAAAGTGATCATGTAGCTGCCGCCATATTCGTGTGATTAATTCAAAATTGATCTAGCGCAACTGAAATGTATTATCACATCTTTATGTTTCTATTACTCCGAGGTGTTTTTCGCGGAAAGGGTTTCATTAAACATGAATTATGATTGGAACACTATAAAAGAGTTGTTAACATGTAATAGTTTCCAAAGCATAATATGTATTTAACCCGTCTTTTGATAAATTGTTAGGTATCTCGGATTCTAATCTTGTTTATATCCGCTGATAACAATTCCCCACACGTGTAACACGTTATTGTAATTGTGAGGATATATCTGGTTATGTATCCAGATAACATTGACAGTTAAGCAATATAAATATCTAATATACTGAGTTCAAAGAAAACGAGCCATAATATGAAAAAATCCAATCAAGTCAAACACAATTATAAAAAGAGCCGATACTAATAGTGTGAGAACATATTCTAGGATTACTAACAAGGTGCGCTCAGTAAGACATTTTAGAACGAAACAAACAATAGCTTTTTATGCAGTGTTGAATCGATATTCAATAATATATTATTTATAATAGCATATAAAATCGTACATTTTCAGAAAAATAGTTGCTTAGTTTAATCACTGTGTAACGACATTGTTCATCATCTAATAATTCCGTCAAGGCACTCCGTAAAAGCTGGTTATTTTGCATATAACCTACGTTGGCGATATACTTAATGTCCGGAAAGTTTTAATTCAAGATATACTTGTAATTTAAGATAATAGAAAAAGAAATTTGTTATTAATGACTGATAAAACTGATCACTTTTTGTACAACTGGGCCCTGGTCTGCACTTCAACGGTAGGGGTTTATCAATATTATACAATAACGTGTGAACAACGATACCCAGGGGGAAACTCTGTAATGTGTTTGACGCATAGATATTTATTAAAGTTGCTTACAGGTATATGTACCCTTAACGTTCTTAGTGTGTGGGCTCATATATTAATATTCACACTTCATTGTAGAGAGATCTTATCACATGTTGTGTCAACTTTACATTGATTTTTTCTGCATTTCCCTTTTCAAATGTTCATGCACATAAACAGATTAGTGGAATTTATATGGAAGCGTGTTTCTATCAGAGGCGGGTAGTTGAACATTCTTTCTCTAAATTCAACGGCAAAACACTTGTAAATCAATCGACTTAATACACATGATAGGACACATATAGATAAAAGATCCACAATTCATGGTGATAATCATATCAGGGATATCTACTTCTACAGAATCATGGAGATACTTGTCGCATTAGATATGAGCGTGCATTGATGGTAATGCAAATGCATATCTTATGGGACAAGCTGAGAAACTGCATATTGCAAGAGGCATGGTGAAATAATGATATAGTTCATGCAACAGTGATATATATTATTTCATACAATATTATATAATGTCCGTTTTCTTACCTGACGACAATATAATTTACAACATTTGATATAGCGCCCTATCTAGCTTACATAAGCCACTCTAAAGTGCTTTACAGTAAATAGATATACACTTAATACAATTAGCAAATACATTAATCAATACAATTTTGAGAAATTCGCAGAAGCTGCCTTATCAGGGGCTAACTACTAGTCCTATGCCACCTGGCTAGTATCTCCCTATGTTTGTATGCCTGAGTGTGTGCTAGAGATGTAATGTGATCCGATCAAGTTGAATGTAAGAACGTTTTAACACCGAACTGCATTTAGATATCTTTTATTGACAATGACGTCACAATTTATTAGGTAACCTATTTTTTGTATATTCTCATCTTGGTTTAAAACAGTAACCAATTTTCCTAAAACAGTATACAAATTATATTATAAAGCATACATTACCTTTATAAATTTTATTTGGATTAATTCTTATTCCACTCTGAAATTTGACTTAAATGACATCATTTTCACGAGTCATTATGCGTTAATATCATTACATATTTCTGGCTATCGGGTTATCGTTTCGAATATGAGAAACGTGTGAAAACTTTCAAAATAAAGGTATAATTTTCGAATTCAAAATAACCACTATCAGACAATGCACGTACCCAATTCATTTTGATGTCATGACTCTTTTGTCTATTTCCCTATAAATGTCGATCCCTATTATTGATTTCCTTTCATATTCTCTAGTGACAAATGGAAATTATATCCTGTAGAACAATGTCGCGCAGTCATATTAGTCATACTGGCGGTTCTATTCATGCATAAATATACCATATAAGTATTTGCTATATTGAGTACGTACCAGTTGAGTGATACTAATGACCGTGTCTATTGTTATAGCGGCGGACCGCCACGACGGCCCGACAGAGGCTGTGGAACACTCGAGTTGTGCCGTATATCATCGATCCTGTGTTTGGTAGGTATAAATATAACACCAGAGAACTTAGATACCATATACATATAGGCCACGGACCAGTAACTGCTGATGAATTATGAAGTCTGTCATATGTAAAGGATATATAACTCTACCCGATGACATATGATTTGGTATCTAAAGGGAGACTGGTCGGGGCAGTGACTTTGAATTCCTCCCTTGACGGTTGCAGTTCCATTTTCCTTCATTGCGATAGCTTCTTTGTACCATAAGAAACACGTGTGGTAAATAAAAACCAAAACATGCTTGATACGCTACAATGCAATAATTGTGATGCCATGCGATTTACATTGATTACAATGACAACGTAAATTGCTGCATTTTCAAAATTAGATTATATTTCAATGTTATTATAGACCATGCTTCGTCTTTGGACTCCTGGAATATGTCATAACAATGTGATAGAGTAGACTTATTTGATCCCTTTGATGTGTACTATTTATAAATACATACCTTGAATTCGGGTGTTGCTCCTTTGTAATCGTCAATGGACTGATTCATTGTATCTGCTTAGACAATGGTCTGTTTTTCTTTTCTTTTCTGTTAATTGACATAAAGTGCCTTATAAGACAATGTAATCGTTGGAAGTTCGAGATTGAACATCGGCACGCTTCATTTTGATCCCTTTAGTATGCCATAGGGTAGATATGTTATCCCTTTTACATATATAACATTTGCTCTATTTATTCTACACGGAATATTTTGTTATGCTGATTTAGAGACAAGGTGGGAAGGAGCTCTCATACACTCACATGTATCGGAGTAAAACCCCGCATGTTTCTTTACACGCTGATATCACTTATAAATTTGGTAAGGGGTTTTAGGTCAAAAACATTCGCTTAAAATATTTAGAAAGAACACTTTTGATTGTATTTGTTTAGTACTATACTTTTACTTGGATATATTTTATAATAACCGTTTTAACTAACAGATTCATTCAAACGTGATGTTTTAAGAATTCGTTTATGTGAGAGAGGCAACCTACCTAAAATACTGTATACCGGGGCATTCTCGCCCAATCAAATTTTCGCAATTCGCTTGTAACATCTATATTAGCCCGATGCTAATTTCGCCATTCACATTTAATAACTATGTATAATGTGCTGTTTACTAGTGTTCGCTGTAATGATAAATTCGTCCTCAATACGGAGTGCAAAAAAGGCTGAGATCAAACTGCTTGCAAATTTCCCAGTAAACAGTTTTAGGAAGATTCTTTAAGTTATATGTATGCTCAATAGAATGTTTGTCTGCAATGGCGAGCTTAATCTATGAACAGACCAACAGCACGCCAAAAACGTCCGTTCATTCAGTATTGCCATGCACGACAGCTCATCACCTTCGGGCGAGTCGACCTGATCCCCGAGCATACAAAGAAGTCGACTCGTCGACTCCACAAAAGCATGTTCACTACACAGTAATCATTTCAATATTTTGACAATCCATTCGTTTTGTTTAAGTGAACTAGACTACACATTTGAACGTATTGTGAACAATAGTAATCTTTCTATTATTAGAAACCACTGAAGAACAGGATATACATGCTGCTTTGACAGATTACCATCAGAAGACATGTATTCGCTTCGTCCCTCGGACAAAGGAAAAGGATTACATTCGGCTAACAAAGACTGATGGGTAAGTTCTCGAATGAGATGAAAATATGCCATTGATATTTTAGACAAATTTTACATTTTAGCATATTTATTGTAAACACGAAGGATTTATTCGAAAATATATACTAACCAATAAGAAAACTGTAGTGTAGATATACTCTCAAACGTTTTTCTTTTAGTTAATCACCACCGCATCCTATTAGCTGGATCTAAATGCAATCGTTTGAAATTCAAAATATAATTAATACAAATAAACATAACGTTTCTTTAACTCCATGGAAACGCGATGACTGTTGTTCTTTGGTGTAAGAGGTATTGAGGTCAACGTACATAATGTAATTCTTACTCTATCATCATGTCTCTTCCAGATGCTACTCTAAGATCGGGCGCGTGGGTGGGCAACAGAATGTGTCGTTGGTATCGTCCTGCCTCAGAAAAGGCACAGTCATACACGAACTTATGCATGTGCTCGGCTTCTTCCACGAACAGACCCGACCGGACAGAGATGCGTGGGTTCAGATCATTACAGAAAACATCTTACCAGGTATAGTTATTTCCTCCCGTTGACACATTTGGATTTAACGGCATCCTTCATCTTCCATGACTCACAGTTTCGTTGAATTACTTAGGGGTCGTTTTTTTAAATAACACTCCAGTGGTACAACTCTCAATAGTGTACGTCATTGAAGCGCTTTATTTAAGCTAGGTGAGGTCTTATAGCTTCCCCTATTATAAATGTAAGTTGCCTTTCCACATATATGGTAAATTAGTTTCACCTTTGCTCAAACAAAAACGAGAATGAACTGTCTGTCTTAATCTACCTAGGTCAAGAGCATTCACACACGCCTGTTATCAAATGCCATTGTCTATTGTAAATGTAGGCAAGGAGTATAACTTTGACAAGTTGGACAGTCGACTGGTAGACACCTTGGGCGTGGAGTACGACTACGGCAGTGTTTTACACTACAGCAAGTACGCTTTCAGTACGAACGGCAATCCCACAATCCTCCCCACACGTATGACATTAGCCACACTCGGACAGCGGAACGGCTTTAGCTATCTAGACCTCCAGCGGATCAACCTCCTATATAGATGTGGTAAGTAATAAGTGTCCATGCTTTTGTTTATCTTTAGACTTTCAGATTGAGTTAAGTGTTCAGACAAAGCTACATTTTGATAACTAGGATGATTTTCTAGACACTATGTCTGAGTTTAGGGATATATATATCATACTCAGCTGCTGATTTACCCAGATATGTGATACTATGTGCGGTTAGGGTGACACTCATTTTTCTTTCTGCAGATATTCCTGGGCCCCTTTTGGTATCTATCAACTCCACGCAGAGTACACAGAGCACGCAGACCACACACAACACATATAGCACGCAGACCACTACGCTACATCCGACTCCGGCTATCACACCAACTTACCCCAACACTCCGCCCACGATATACCCCATCCCACCAACCTTAATCCACCCAACACTACCACCAAAGACAGACTTGCCTTCTACAACAGCACCGACTGTGTACCCACACCCACCATCGACATCCTCAGCTCTCACTACACAGATCAGCGCCCAAGCTACCCCGTCAATGGTGACGTCAGCGGGTTGGTCTCGGTGGTCTGTTTGGTCGTTCTGTAACCTTCAGTGCATGAGAACCAGGTACCGCTTCTGCTTCAGTAACCAGCGGTCCCAGTGTCCGGGAAGGACGGAGGAGCAACGGCTGTGCACTACAGGATGTAGAGGTAGCTAAATATAGACTGCACCCATTACTCGATTATAATATTTAATTTTGAAATTATAGGTTTTTCATGTGAGAGATTAAAAAGAAAAAGAGTCGGATCGTAATCATGATATTCCCATAAGAATTCTAGTATTTGTATCTAATGTGCCTGTCACTTATGGTTATTATTGAGTCGTCATCTGATTATTTTATATATGGTTGACAGATAACCAATTTTAATTCAGTTGTAATAATATTCTATCGTATTTTTCAATGCCCTGATTCTAACGCCATTTCTCATCCACATTAATAAGGTCTGTTTTTTTACAGCGGCGTGGACGTTAGGATGCTGGCAGAATAACCTGACCATCTCCGCCGTGCCTTCCGTCGAGGGTCAGTATCCGACCCTGACCGGCAAGTACGAATCGCGCGAAGGTTCAGTCCGGAAGTGCGCGGATGTTGCGTCGGATTCAGGTCATGTGGTGTTTGCTGTGTTTAACAACGGTATGTGTCTATCTGGACCAGACGCCCAAAAGACCTTCTACAAATATGGCCCGTCCACCGCATGTAGCTATACAGGAGAGGGCAGCAAGACCGCCATGAATGTATACACGTTCCAGCATGGTAAATCATGTATTTTGGTTCTGACAAAATCCTATCAAAATAACGTAAGAACATTGAAATGCATGGTTCGGTCGCCTTTGTAAAAGACATAAATAAGCAGTTTGCATGGGATATATATTATGCCTGGGTTGACCTTTAAATTAATGAGATGAGGTATATTTGTAATTTTCTTTGACCTTTTTTATCTAAGATATCGACGGCATGTGGGGACCGTGGACATACTGGACACAGTGTACACAGATGTGCAATGGCGGGAGGAAATACCGCTACCGATACTGTAACAGCCCTCCTCCTGTTGGCCACGGCGCCTCCTGTCTAGGACTGGACCACGAGACACAAGCTTGTAACACACAACCATGTCCAGGTGGGTGGTAATACATGTAATAAGTGACTGTTTTACTTGCGCAGATATCACAAATATCTTCGTATGCATTAACAGTGTATATCCTTTTCAAGAAAAACATTTTGAACTTATTTTCTTCAAAACGCACCTGATGTTTATAAAGGAGTTGATTAATGTCAATAGCATTTAGTTTCATTTAAATAGTTATTTAGATCTAAATGTGTGGGAAACGGAGCGGACCATGGGATAGCTGTATCAGTCTTTATAACTTTGACTTGGAATAAAAGGATCTGCATAACTATATAAAGTAAAAGGGGACGCACGTCCACGTTTCAGACAAATGTACATGTAGTCCACAATACTGTCTCAGTCATGGTGTGGTATCATCCTTGTGTGTTTCAGCGGATACCAAGTGTGGCGTGAAGTATCATACTGGCCTGCCCGGGACATCCGGCATCATCAACGTCGGCGAGTACGACAACTTTATGAAGTGTGAATACGAGATCGTGACGGCCGAGACGGATCTTACAATTTCCGTGTCCATCACTAGAATAGACCTAGAGTACACACTCAGCTGTATGAGTGACGCGCTTCTGGTCAGTGATTCTCATGTTCGTTGTTATGTTGTTCTCTTCTTCTATGTTAATTTTGTACATTTCTATTCCGAGATATGTCAAGCTGTTATAAGATATCTATTTAGCGTTGATTTCCTCTAAATAGTTGTGTTTTGTTTAAGTAATTTATTTTCAAAATGTGCATCAAATACCTTCTGCGCCTTCCAGATTTTTGACGGCCCCAACGACAACGCGACGTTCCTGGGCGCACACTGTGGAACTGTGCCGCCGGCGTCGGTACTGTCCTCCTCCAACAAAATATTCCTCAAATTCCTGACGGACGAAACGACGACTGGCACCGGTTTCACAGTCCTCTACACAATTAACCAGAACATCCGTACGTCATCATTGACTTTATTTAACCACAGCAACGCATGTAACATGCCACGTGTGAAACGGGGAGGGATTACCCCTCCATGTCACTAAGTTAAGCTTCGTCTCAAGATTTCCATGTGGGATTTCTAATTCTTTCTGGTTTGGTTGTTCCTGACGTCGGAATATTGCGTTTCACATTCGGTTCCTATCGTTAATGTCCATATTCTCGACGCTATGACGTTTTTAACGTTGAGTAACACTGTTAAGTATTACACTATCAGTTTTTCTGAAAGGATTTTTGTTAATAAAGTCAAAAATTTGTTAAAAATATAAAATGAATTTGATAACTATAAATAGTTATTTCATTACAGGTAAGAGTTGTGTACAGCCAAGAAGACCAGGACATGGTCGACTAATCGGTAGTTCACATTTCGCGGGCGACTCCATCTTCTTTGAGTGTGACCATCACTACAATTTAATCGGGTCGTCGTCTGTTGTATGTGTTGACCAGCCAACGTTCGCTGTGTGGTCGGACACCTTCCCCAGCTGTGTACGAAGCATGACAAGAAAAGCCAGTGAGTGTATACTTTTTATTTGCTAGAAAACTAGTTTATAAACCACGAGTTGAGATAATAAGAGATTACAGAGATGCAATTGACAAGGTTCCGGTGATAACGAGTGCCACTATTTGGTTCAGAAGATAATTTGCTCTCCAGATCACTTTTTTATTTTTGTCTCGAAACTGAACGTTTAAATNCAAGATAAAAATGGCACAGTAGATCTACCTCATTTAGTTTCGTTTTATCAAATTCCTCGAACTGTTCTTCCTGATTCTTTTCTTTTAAATACGTCCTCAGCATGTTTGCCGCTCGTCTGTTCGACTTTTGTGTGTTTTGTGGCACATAGTTAGCCCTTTTGGCGATTATTTCCTCATCAGTATGCGAAGCGAAACGTTTTGTCATTTTGTAAACATCGCCGGAAGCAGACGACGAATGCGAGTTGTCTCCCATTGCCCGGCCGCAAAATACAAAGACACGTGACCCGTATACCCCTTGTAAAAGCACGTGATTCCACCGTATTACTGCTGAGAATCACGTGACATGACCGTATACCCCCTGAGATTTTCGTATACCCCTTGAGATTTACGAATGCGGTTTGGTACACTGTAGTTTTTAACCAATCAGATTCCTAGATTTTTCTCAAAGGGGTAATAATACATGAGATCATTGCTTATACCACCTGTCTTGTTATTGCAGAGGAATCATCAGAAGATATTGCTTTTATACGTGATTTGATGAAAAAAAATATATCCCCTATCATTACTATGCTCGTGTTATGTAGGTGAACAACGTCCCGTTCTGTGTTCATTCGAGGGAAATCTCTGTGGATTTAAGCAGCAACGTGACGATGTTGGCGACTGGGTTGTGGCGGAGGGAGATGTTGGTCGGTTTCCACAACGACCACTGGCAGATCATTCGCATGGAATGATGGGTATGTTATAATAAGGCTCCCGCGTTCACTGAAGAGCTGTTAACGTTTATTTCTCATTTATCAGGCTGGATTTGAGCGCGAGATATTGAAACAAACTTCTCCCAATCTAATTAAGGAATAAATATCATTCCTTATATTTACATTGACGAATCCTTTCAGTGGATCGATATAACAACGAATAAAACAAATAAACAGGGTTTGTTCCTGCTTATACACGGGTGCAACGCAGTGGCGAGAACAGTGTTTTTTCGCGGGGAAATGTGACACTATCGTGAGAGATCTTAGCAACCGTCAACAACAATAACACAACAAAATGTAGTTCCATATTCAATGTTTATTTGTAGCACAGGACACGTGAATACGTGGATATTTCACAAAGCACAGTTCAATAATATTTTAAGATGTAAGAATTAAGCATCTAGGTCGGTCGTTCCGAGTGAGTAGTTTTTGTAGTGTATTACTACGCAGTGTGATCAGGTTACTATCAGTTCCCACGTGCTGAGATTCTATGAACACCTGTGTTATGCATTTATGAATGTAATTTTTGTAAATGGGTCTAAGCATACAGAATGTAAATATTTACAAAATGAAATGAAGAAGAAAGTCAACAAGAGCGGAAACGATTCTATTCAAAAGATAGAAAACTTGGACACAATCATACAATAATTAAAATAGGACACATATATCCATCAATTGAATAGTTGACAAGAATGAAAATGGAAACGATCTTGTATTCTATTTTTGAACAGGGAATGGTCATTTCCTGATAGCAGAGACGACACGCTTAAATCGGCCAGGCGACACGACAACAATCAAGTCCAACACAATAACACCTACTACAGTACACCAATGTCTGACATTTTGGGTCAGAGTTGTCGGTCGTGATAACTCCTACCTGGACGTGGTCCTCGAGACTCCGGGCCGCAGTGAGAACCTTTTTACAGTTCCCGCGGACACGGCATTCCGCGAGGGAAATACCTGGATGGAGTACAGTGTCACATTCAAGCCAGTAGAATCCTACCAGGTAAAACGCGGCACGTTAATGGTATCTTCGTATTTATATAATAGTGTTAAAATATATATAATCATTAAAATGTTAGTTAAAAAAAAATTAGGAGTCGATTTTGCCTCGAATTTTTCATCTTGGAATCGACTTGAAATTATATTAAGTTAAAACAATGTCATCTGTGATACTTCATTATGATTTAAAAACAAAATAACTCTTTGCGTTTATTTTTCTTGTAGATTGTGTTTGATTACGTGGTCGGTGAGGGCTTCGGTAGCTCTGTTGCTTTGGATGACGTGCTTGTTCAGCCAGGGGCTTGCATTTTGTAAATAACATTATTTCTGCTTCAGAAGAATCTCATATTCGCAATAAACTCAGCAATACATGTTCCAGATTTCACTTGACAGATGTTTTACTATTTCTGTTATGCGATAGCACTTTCCCGCATTCGATTTTCTTCGTGGTTTTTTTTACATTTGGTTGTAGTTATCATCGTCCATAACTCTAAGAATATTGTGTTTCTTTCATGGTATAAATAGAAAACATAGTGTTTTTGAATATAATATCCCTATATCAATTATTAGGGATTTGTCAATAAAAATTATTTTCTCATCATAAACGGTTTTTCAATCATAACACATTTACTAATTACAATATATCCATTTACTAGTCATTATAAAATCAATAATAAAACACAGGATAACAACATTATACATCATTTATTGATACTATAAATGTTTTCGATGTAACACGAACATATTAGTTGTATTAGCTGGAGATAGATATATGACAACAAAAACTTCTACGGTAACATTAAACGGATAATAGGATTTCGATTGATGCATTATCTTTAAACGTTGTTTGAAACATTAGATTCCAATATCTTAACCACTACTGAAATTCTATTTCAAATAAAACAAGTGATGCTCATTTAGCAATTTAATTTTACTTATAAAAAGTTAACACCATCCATAGAGTTCTGATTTACGATTTTAAAAATGCTTTCATTTCGCAAATGGTAATTTATAACTTATATGTCAATAACAAACAGCATAAATTTAACGCTTACAAACATCCTTTAGCAAACAATCATCAATAAAAGCTAATGGTTAAACAATCTACATTAAAAACTGTAAGACAATGTTATTGTCAACGTTCAAGTTCAGTTAAATACACACAAAAGTACACCATTCCTTCCGTTTCTGTGATAAGTCACCACACGAATAGTCATATCGTACAATAACATAATTTAAAGTGGTTCAATATTGCAGATAAATAATATTGTTATTTAAATAAATACATCTATAGTTGGCTTACATGCATTATAGAGTGTTGTATATATCTAAATAAACGTATAGACAGGCTTGTATCAAATCTGATATACACATGCATTATATAAATGGTCGGTCACGTCTGTGATAATGACCTTGATGTAGACAATTACATCTACTATTGACCTACAAGGACAAGGTCGACAGCAAAATATCAATGCCTGAACCATAACAAAGGTTGACCGATGTCTCACCGCGTGAATCTCTCTTAACATCACAAGAATGTCTAACCGCTTTTAACATACTGCAACATAATATACAGCGATAATTTGTGCTCTACAGTAATTCATTCAATTATTACACTCTTAACATACAAATGCCTTTTGCGTTGTTCTTTCATCAAAAAGCTATGTAGAACACAAAGAATATGAATACCCTCCTGACCATGGACTAGTACGTACGCTGCATCCCGTTTACTGAATCTAAAGCTTTGATGTATTGTCTTCGTTTTTGTTGAGATACACGATCACAGGTGAGTTGTCTCGAATTTATCCGAAAGTGACTGCCAATCACCTTTCTCAATCAGAGCATTAATCTCCGACTTGATGAGAGTGTCATCAGGGGCGATAACCTCAGCCATGAAGTTGACCCGCTTTCCTTTTGTCCAGCTGAAGCTATTGTCGAAGCAAAGACAGTCTAGATAAAGAAAGTAAGGCAATATATTACAGCTAATGATTGGGTAGATTACTTACATTGTATCATATCAAAAGAATAACAAAATGCATCCCCATGCGTCACGACTAAAATTTATGACCAACAATTTAAACGCATTTGTATAGGACAGGAAAAGCTATGAATCAAATATGAATGTGTTAATTGTGTAAGATTAAGTGTGATAAAATGGATAGATATATGTATCAATTAATACGTGGAAAAGGGGGAGCACACATGTATATTTCATAAATAGCAGTTCATAATTTGAAAAAAATGCACTGTAGCATATCAAATTATGTTTAACAAAGGTGGATGTTATTTTTTTTTAAATGAAATTATTTCTTTATAAAAATGAATAAAGTGAATTTTAGTGAAGGAAATTATGTTATAAGAAATGTTTTTAGCTTTGCATGCCCCCACATTTCTCAAATTAAATCTTACTGTAGCTTACAATAAATATTCCCCAAAAAAGGACAATATTCACAGCATTGCTTCACAATTGATTTATAATCATATATTACTACGGTATTAGTGTATTAATGTATTTAATATAAATTAACTGTAAAATATTACTAGCGATTAACCGTGATGGTGTACGGAATTTCATTACTACTGTACTCGGTGCTACCTATATACTGTCAAACATACTAATTTCCTGTATTATACTATAGTAACACCTTACGACTGATATAAAGTGACGAAGTACTGACTTACAGAATACAGAACTACTGGTTATTTTTGTGCCTGCTCGAGAATAATACCTTCTGATATATCATAACAATAAGATAAAAGAAAACAAAACTAATCAACATTTACACAATACAAAAAAAACCTGATCGGACATGGCTCGTCAAATATAAACTTGACATCACACGTTAAATCAAATAGCATTAAAAAAAACCCACTGGAAATCTTAATTGCAGCCAAACACGCTTATGTATGAGGTACTGCCGATCATTTGTGTTCATAGACGACAAAACAATCTGAACTGTTATGAAAAAGAAAGGTGTTCGTGAACTGTAAAACTATCTACTGACAATTTATAGTGAGACACGTGAACGTTAAGTGGTGCAAATAAACAAAAGTGGTGCTGACTATATCAAATAACAGTACAGGAGCAGGCTAAGTGAGGAATAGGATTATGACAATCGACAATTTGCTGTATTGAGAAAAGTCGATGTGATGATTAAAAGTATACCATTTAAGAAGATTTCTGTATTGAATACAGTCGAAGTAAACACTTAAGTTATAACTATCGACATGTTTGAGCCAATTACTGTACTTTGAACAGTTAAGGTGTTGATGTAAATTAAAACAAATTAAAGAATTTCTTTAGTGAGAACAATCCAGATGATTTCATAACAGTTTTTAACAACTGATGATATTGCAGTTTTGGAAGCAGTCTAAAGAATGACATCAGTAGTCGAGATAAAATGATATTTCAAGGTCCTCCGTAATTACACATGAAGCACATAGTGTTACCACACATACACCGGAGGCAGTCTGTACTTATTGTTGTATATCGACTGTACATATATTTACGATAAAAGTTTGGTTTGGTTCTAACCTATTTGAACGGTGACGCGTTTTCAATTTATTCTTACAACATTTTAGAAGTCAACGCATACATTCAGTCTAGCAATCGACAGTGAACAGCGTTTATTTTCTTTATCATTTTACCTTGTAAGAACTAAATACGTGTTAATAAATTTGAAAAAAAAAGGAAAAACAGTTAAAAATCTATTGTTCGCGGATACGATATATTGTTTACCGATCACAAAGGCCTCGCTGATTCGGTGGTGTCACTGTTCATTCTAACACAATACAACATCACATGCACAAAGCTATACCATACCAACAGTTAGGTTGCAGGACCGTTAATACTTGTACTTGGTGACAGAAAGAAGACTTCGGCAGAATAGTGAATTTTCTTTGACTTAAACCAACTGAATCTATTGTTGAAAATTACTACATCTGAAACAAGAAACGTGTATTTGCCCGATTATGATTCTTCAAATCATAGCGAAATGGTTTAAGAACACATAGATGATCAATTGATTTTAATTATATCGGTGCAGATTTATCCTGATGTCTCCTGGGTACATATTACATTGTAGATTTTCTTGTACTTTTTGCGACGATAGTTCTTAACTTGCAAAGAGACATCACTTCAACCCTCTATCGTATTGGTAAGAGAAATATGGTCCACTAATGTCTCCTCGGTGTAATGACTATTTAACCCTATTTCCCTTAGTCGAGGTCACTATCCCACCCCATTGTCAGATGTAAAAATATCTACCTCAATTGTCCTCGGTTGAGATACAATCTACTAAATACTGTTTCCTCGTTAAAAAGGACTATTCACCCGCATTCTCTTTGGTCGAGGGCCTTTCTTACCCCATTGTCAGCTGTGAGAAAATATCTTACCCAATGGTTCTCAGTCAATATATAACCCATTGTTAGCTGTAGAGAGAATATCAACCCCAATTGCCATCGTTCAGTATATAACCCATTGTAAGCTGTGGACTGAATACCTACCCAGCTGTCCTCAGTCACTATCGAACACATTGTCATATGTACCTGAGAATATCTACCCCAATTGTCATCAGTCACTTTCTAAACTCTTGTCAGACGTAGAGAGAATATTTACCCAATTGTCCTTAGTGACTTTCTAACCAATTGTCAGAACACCTACCCCGATAAACCTCAGTCGAGGGGTTATCTAACCCATCATCTGGAGTAGAGAGAACATCTTCCCCAATAAACCGCGGCTAAGGGGGCTATCTAACCTATAGTCAGTTATAATAGAGATAATATCTACACCAAATACCCTTGGCCGACGGGTTATCTAACCCATCGTCAGCTGAAGAGATAATACCTACCCCAATAAACTGCGGTCGAGGGGCTATCTAACCAATCGTCAGCTGTAGAGATAATATCTACACCAAATTACCTCGGTCGAGGGATTATCTAACCCACCGTCAGCTGTAGAGATAATACCTTCCCCAGTGAACCGCGGTCGAGCGGCTATCTAACCAATCGTCAGCTGAATAGATAATATCTACACCAAATTACCTCGGTCGAGGGATTATCTAACCCACCGTCAGCTGTAGAGATAATACCTTCCCCAGTGAACCGCGGTCGAGCGGCTATCTAACCAATCGTCAGCTGAATAGATAATATCTACACCAAATTACCTCGGTCGAGGGATTATCTAACCCACCGTCAGTTATAGAGAGATTATCTTCTCCAAATAACCTCCGTCGAGGGTTATCTAACCAATTGTCAGTTGTAAAGATAATCTATCTCTTCCCTAAAAAACATCGGTTGAAGGTTATCTAATCCATTATCATCTTTAGAGGGAATATCTACCACAATTGTCTTCGGTCGGGGAACTATATTTCTCAATTGACCTCGGTAAGCGGACTTTCTATTCCCCCATATTGAGAAAAGAAAAAACCCTACTCCACTAGAAATTGAAGGCCTCAGAAATAGAGCAGGGAAACATAGCGGCAGTTAGTACAGTTAGACATATTACTCTAGTTTTATATTAGTAATCGTAGAGTAGACGTGTATGACTCTAGCATGATATACTGTTTCCCATTCTCAAAAATACTTACAAACGCCCTGCTTATCACACGTGATACTGCCATCCTCGGTGACCACGTGACTATTAACGCGTGTTACAGGCACCAGTGGTGTTAAATGACCATTTTCCTTATAACTTACACCGAATCCGATGTCGTAATCGTCTGTTTGGAACTCCCATCTATAAAAAAGGGTTTTCAACGTTAAAATTTGACCCGTTTGTAATCTGCTTTAAAGTGAATTTGCATATGGTAGTATATGTGAACAGATATCAAAACTAACAGATATGGAGCTACAGCTAAAATTATGATATACACAAAATGATCTACCCCATATGGATTAAAACGAATTAACATGATGTAGCTCTAATTGATCATGATCCAGTTTAATTTTGTTTGTGAGTTAATAGGATTTGACACATTTCTTGTGGTGAAATGTAACAATGACACTTTTTATATTTTTTTTTTTTTCAAATGGAAAAAAGACACACGTTACGTTCATCATTCCATTTTATCACATGACTACCATCTAGATAGATGTATACATCCATGTGTTAATGTGTGTATGAATTAAAGCAATATGAACTAATGTGATGTCATAAAATTAACATAAATCGATGTCACATACCCTTTCAGACTTTAAACATGATCGCACGATACCAACGATCTAAAATTTATTTTCATTTAAAACGAAAATTAAACAACTTAAGAAAACAATATTGAACTTGTTTCGTCATTTGTATCTTGTCGTATGAGACAGAAATTCATATATCAAAGTATATCATATCACTAAAATGTATTGTGACGACACTAACATTTGATCAGCATTAATCCCTATCATTCATTTAAAGCGACACGTGTTAAATAAAAGCAGTATGTATGTCCAAATAGGAAGGCACAGCATACTGAGCTAGTTTATTGTTAACCTGAGGAGGGAGCCCTGCTTTTCCACGTTGTACTCCAGATGTAGTTTGTCACCCTTTGGTATGGTGACCGTTTTCATGTGTTCAAGTAGTTGTGTGTTTTGTAGATAATACGACTCTGGAACGTTCCCTCCTTGACAGACCTGTATTCGAAAGGAAACTGAACGTGTTATTTAAAACATGATAAAAGGAGTAAATGACAATTTCCAAACTTTCCATAAAAACATGTTGAAATTGTTACTGCAAAAATCGTCAAAAATTAGAACCACGCGAAATTAATAAATTTGTAAAGATACTACAAAGGAACTATCTGTAATGACTGTACATACGCGTGTAACGTGTTACGAAAGTGTCACTGTCTTTAAGATGACAACTAATAGGAATTACTATAGCTAGGTTCTTACACTGGTGGCGTATTGATGAATACTATTTTCATTTCAAAATATTTTATCAAATCAATCAGATTTTAATGGGAATTGGGCAACTTGCACAGCCTATGAGAGCCCTCTCTCTTTGGAAGTACATGCATTTCACACACGAAGAGGTCATAAAACATTGACTATTAAGCATTGGTTTGTAACATAAAATGTAAATCTGTAGTTAAGATAGAACAGAGCTATCGCGCACCAGCAAAACGATACTTCATTTTTTGCATTTGTATCCTTATTCACGTTCGCAACATATACATAATAGTTAGAACATTCATATAAGATGCATGCAATGCTGAAATAAGTGGATATTTGTCTCTACGGACTGACAAGATGCTACTCTATATATGGGAGTAACTAGTTGCGAACGTTTCCCTGTCCTTAAGATGTCAACAAATAATTATAACTGTAACCTGGTATGTAAATGTTTACACCTTGTTACTTATACTTGGAACACGCCTATGGTTACCAATCGGGTCAGGTACACCTAGTTACTTACAATTGTAACACACCTAGGGTTACCAATCAGGTCAGGTACCCCTAAGTACTTACAATTGTACCACACCTAGGGTTACCAATCAGGTCAGGTACCCCTAAGTACTTACAATTGTACCACACCTAGGGTTACCAATCAGGTCAGGTACCCCTAAGTACTTACAATTGTACCACACCTAGGGTTACCAATCAGATCAGGTACACCTAAGTACTTACAATTGTACCACACCTAGGGTTTCCAATCAGGTCAGGTACACCTAAGTACTTACAATTGTACCACACCTAGGGTTTCCAATCAGGTCAGGTACACCTAAGTACTTACAATTGTACCACACCTATGGTAACCAATCGGGTCAGGTACACCTAGTTACTTACAATTGTAACACACCTAGGGTTACCAATCAGGTCAGGTACACCTAAGTACCTACACTTGTAGCACACCTAGGGTAACCATCATGTCAGTTACACTTAAATACTTACACTTGTAGCACACCTAGGGTAACCATCATGTCAGTTACACTTCAATACTTACACTTGTAGTATACCTAGGTTAACCATCATGTCAGTTACACTTAAATACTTACACTTGAAGCACACCTAGGGTAACCATCATGTCAGTTACACTTCAATACTTACACTTGTAGCACACCTAGGTTAACCATCATGTCAGCTACACTTAAATACTTACACTTTTAGTACATCTAGGGTAACCATCATGTCAGTTACACTTCAATCCTTACACTTGTAGTATACCTAGGTTAACCATCATGTCAGTTACACTTAAATACTTTCACTTGTAGCACACCTAGGGTAACCATCAAGTCAGTAACACCATGGTACTTACACTTGTAGCACACATAGGGTAACCATCAGGTCAGTTACACTTAAATACTTACACTTTTAGTACATCTAGGGTAACCATCATGTCAGTTACACTTAAATACTTACACCTGTAGCACACCTAGGGTAACCGTCATGTCAGTTACACTTACATACTTACACTTGTAGCACACCTAGGTTAACCATCATGTCAGTTACACTTTAATACTTACACTTGTAGCACACCTAGGGTAACCATCATGTCAGTTACACTTCAATACTTACACTTGTAGCACACCTAGGGTAACCATCAAGTCAGTTACACCATGGTACTTACACTTTTAACACACCTAGGGTTACCATCAGGGTCTGTGAGCGTCCCACCATAGCACGCCGGTATATTGCGAGGATCAATGTACTTGAATAACAGCTCTTTATAATCTCCTGTAAATAAAATGCAATTATTGTAAAAGTTCTTGTCACCAATATACACTGTATTCGCTCTATTTAGATATTTGTGAATGAGCATATTTCCTGTAAATTTGCTGGTACCAATAAGTAAATTATTAAAAGTAGGAAATTGTCAAAAAGCGCATATACCAATCATTTTGAGACTTTAGTGCAGTGAGTTGTGTTACAAGGCGCTGGTTTTTGGGATATCACTGTAAAATGGTTTTACTTCTAAAATCGGCGTAATGAAAACCTTTGGTTAATCTTTTTATCATTCAATGCAATACAATGAGGTGTTTACAGAGCGTTATATACCACAATGAAAATGCGGTTCAAATATAAAGAAAACTAATTGTCGAGGGGAGGTTACTCGTGTGAGTGACGACGCTGAATAGTTTTCAACATTATGGAAGGTTTGACATAGTGACGGACACCTCTAGATAAATAACGACTAAGCGCATTTAAATATAATAGCCTTTTCGAATTTGATACGTCACCAAAAAAAGCACATGTCAATTATGTGTATTGTTTAAATGTTCATAAAAAAAACCCGAAGTCCTTACCGTATCATAACATTGTATATATACGTACATGAACAGAAATGCTATTCAGGACATCAGAGTGATATCATTAGAAGAAGACATAAAAGTAGGGGAGATGACGATCGAAGAGGAAAGATTTGAAACCTTTATCAACAGTTAAAAATATGTAAAATGTCCATTTTGGAGAACTCCATTTTTTCTACAAAATGACAGGAAGGGCTATCAGACAGTATGATTTCAATTTATTTATGACTTTATTTCTAACAATATTTAATATACCTGTTAGCAAATTTAAGAGGATGTCCATAATTACGTGCGAGACATTCTATCAAGCTAAATATACTAAGATCAGCATTTAGTGCGTTACATCCATGTCTTATCCGGTGAACGTTATTTTAACGAGACCCGGTGCTGTGATATTGCGGTGCTGAGGAAACAGAGAGTGCTTTCCGAATAGTTTAAAATGACTCATACACGTTTTCGTTTCACGTAACCATCAAGAATGTTTCAAAGCCTGGTACATGTAGTAGAAGTGGGAGGAAAGGACACGGTATTAATTTTAAGTATATTGTTCTTTTTTTCATATTGAGGGGAATTGAGTCAGTTAGATCGTATGGGGCTAGTCCATTATATATTTCATAGGCGATGGGTTGGTTAGGTACATGTATGAGAGAACTAGTCCACTTTATATTTCGGAAACAAAACATAAGTACATGTATTGTGCCAGTCCGTCTCTGAGCTAATGTCTCTCATCTAGTTTCTGAGTATAGCGTTTACTACTAGCATGGGAGGGCAAGCCTGTCACATTACGTTCCGAAACACATGGTCTTGTACTTCCCCAGGGGTTTCCGTGTGTGTTTTTAACATCACAGTATAAAGGCAGCCAGAACGAAAATGAGTCTTGTGCAAAAGACACAAGTTCCTTTAGACATTGGGGGTTAAACACCTACTAGTACACTGGATCACGAACTCTTACTGTACCTACCTCCCGCTATGTGGATTTTGTCCTTCATATCGTCGCTGATGAGGGGTCTCGCCAGCTTGTACAGCAGAGGAAATATCTTGGGGGCTGCAGGGAAAACAAATGTTGTACTTGTATGTTTTATTTTCACTTACTAGTGAGGCTCTACTGTCGTATTGTGTATAATTATAAGAATGATAATCTAACTAGGTGGCTTATCCCACAAATGATACAAAAGGTAAGATATATCTGTGTCGGTTATTATACTGAGGTAAAAAAAGTAAACAAAGATTAGAAAAGAAATTACAATGATCCTGTATATATATAGACTAAAAAAGGCGCAGAAGATATATGTTGCTTTTCAACGTCACTCCGATCCGATAGCGAAGAAAAAACCCAACGCCCTTTTCCTGATGAGAATTTTTTCTTTATAAATAAAGATAATATCAACTTTAATGCCCGAGCGTAGTTTCGTTTTCAATGGAACTTAACTGATTTAGTGATATTGGTTTTCTGATAATTAATAAATAAAGCATTTATGAACTCCGGGATACAAACTGTATCGCTCTGTTCTGTCTGTACGTGTAATTGTCGTGTAGTTTACCGTTTATAACTAACAGTCGCCTCATCATTTCCGGGTAGTTATCTTCCAGCAGTTTCACCAGGTGTAAGTACATCTGCATACCTGTAAATGCAATTAGCATGCATATCTTCAAATTAGGGTACGAAGAACTATTGTATTTGATTTAACTTATAGCAATTAGTCAAACATGATAGGTAATGCCATAAGTTTTTGAATTGTGCAAGACCTGGTAGAAATTTGATTGAGGAAAACCGTAATACATGTATATTGATACACGAAATCTACAGTTTATCAACATCTCTGTACTAAATTAAATGATTTTATAATAGTTCAATTCACATGGTGTTGCCAGACTCTCTTTCTGAGTGTGAAAACCCTGCACATTTTAAGTAAATATTGCGGTTTTGCATTACAACTACAACTACGTGAAAAAAGACAGGGGTCGCCAATCTTCAAAACCGCCACGCTTAACATTTCCAGAATCTTACCAATCCAAGTTAAGGTAGGGTATCAATTAATTCACACCTCTGTTTAACTATCTGCTGTTCTATTCGATTGATTGTCTGGGAGTTGATACATATACATGAAAAATCGCATTAGAAACTACTATACACATACAAAATCTAAAATCCATTTAATGTTTCGTCCTGTGATGGATTGAATAACCTCATGTCAAACATTCACTCTTATCTTAGAAGTTAGCCAAAAGACAGGACGTTATGAGTGTGACGTCGCACTGAAGACAATAGAAATAAACTAAAACATTGTTATGTTGAAGGTATGGTGCTAGAACCAAACTGGACTTACCTGGCCTCCACAACATCTTTGTACTAACACCCTCCATGTCAAATATAACGGTTAACCCGTCTACTCTCTTCCCTGCCTGTTAACGATAAAATGACCGACAGTGTAGACAATTACTGTTGTAGTTGTATATTTAGTTCGGTATTGTGGTATGACGATTCCTTATACAGTAAATACACAACAAAATGATTATCATTGACCTTATACAGTAAATAAACAACAAAATGATTATCATTGACCTTATACAGTAAATACACGACAAAATGATTATCATTGACCTTATACAGTAAATACACAACAAAATGATTATCATTGATCGACTACCTACTATTTGAACGTTTATAATTAATATTTCACGAAATGATTTTTGAATTTCTATGATGCAAACAGTCGGGTTTTGCAATATCTCTGTAAAGAAATTGATAAAACCCATAACCTTTTGGGTAAGTCACTTCGCACTTTATCAAACAATGTTTCTTGACAACATTTTGAAAAACAAATGCAAATACTAAACAAAAAAAATGTGAAAATGGGAGGAGAAATTGCTTATTTGAAATTGAAGTTCATTAAACATAAAGTTAAATTTACCTTACGGCGAAAACAAATCCATGAGCTACCTCCCTTGGACGTGGGTAATCGTCATAGAAATAATCTTTGTGAGTTATAGATTCTGTACTTAAATGATCATTGTTTTAGAGAAAATCCCTACTGAATTTGCCTTTTGTTGGTGATAAACACATATCAGAATGGATGAAATATTACGCAAACAATCAGGAAAAATGCATCACGTTGGTAGTTTAACAGTAATGTTTAATACTATTAATTGCAATGGTTGGTAATCAGGCGAATTGTCATCTGGTATCTAAACAAATATAGATCTTGAAATATAATAAAACCTACTGTATTTGTTGATTGAAAGTGCAGTATTTGGTTAAGGTAATAGGATTGTGTCGCCATTTCTCAGTAGAATTTATTCAAATTTTGTAGATATATTTCTTTGAAGCAAAGAAAATTTTCTGCCACAAAAAATATATAGGTTGTCAGAACTTTAAGGATTTTAAAAGGAAATTTATGTAAAAAGGAGTGAATTTTGAAAAAAATATTGAAACACACAATTGTGTGCAAAATAATGTCAATAAAAATTATACTAACATAGATTAGTATTGCATTAATGTATATCGATTTCATAAATGCTGAAATTGTGTAAAATTAATTATCTATAAACGATTAAAGATTGACATTTTATAATAAAACCATATACACATAGTAATTGCATGCAAGAGTTATCGTTCTTGAAAAACTTCACAGTAGTGAAATAGGTAGCCGGTTTCTGAAGTACAGAAAAATGGACACATGTGACTCATTGCTTAAAAAACAACTGAATTAATGCCTGAATTGCTTTGCAATACTTTAATATTGAAAGAACACACTGTTCTGTCAATAACAAGCATACAATATTCATCACTTTAATATTAAACATCAGATTATGCGGAAATTGTGATACTGTCTCCCTACATTGGATTTTCAACTAGGGATGTACTTCCTATTTCCGTTTAGCAATACACTCCTATGACCTTAAACAAATATTCCTTCATGAATGGAAGTCAAACATTCAATATTCAATAAAGATCACATGCGACAACGTTCTAAGTGTTAATTCGCGTGGTGTGAACTTGACAAATTTGTAAGGCAAATATTCTGCATGTGGACAAGGGCAACACAAAAAAATGGAATAAAGTTCAACAACTGAAATCAAACGAGCGTGTAAAATAGCATTGTACCTACCAATAGGGATCTCTCCTTCAGATCCTTGACCGTCATCTCGCACTGTACAATTTTGGTCTTTTCAAGATCTGACTTACGGACAGAACACATGATCCCTTTGATGTCCAGACGTCCGAACAGCTCCACACGGATCTGTGACCCGTCCATGGCATGGCCGAGAAACCCGCCTGTGAGATACTTCTTCAACACCTACGGGTGGGTTAAGTGAGAAAGTTGAGTTAAGTAAGGATCTTTAATATATTAAATGTCTTCATAATAATTATATTGCATCAGTTTCCGAAACAAATCACAATGAATACATACGAAACCGTTGTTTGAATCAATTCAGAAATTAAGACAGCAGCTCAAAATTGAACTTGCTATAAATTCAATATTATACGTGTATTTTGTATTTTTGCATAAATTTGTAAAAGGAAAGTGTTTATCAAAACCCGATCAATTAATTTTTATTCTTAAAATACACCACTGCAGCAGCAGGGCCAATCATAGTAGAAGGCGACATAACGACCCAGCGACGACTATTGGGGGTGTAAAGGTGGAATTACGAGTCGGTGATTTTAACATATTTACAAATTATCCATGAATTTTATTTGATTTTAAATATATGTGTGGATTGTATTCTATATGTTTCTTTGTATGATATATCACATCAAAATGTCAGAAGGCCTTTCTGGAGCGGGAATAAAAAGTGACATAACCGGTTTAGTCTTGACCTAGTTTACACGGAGACGTACTAAGTACATGGATGAAAAATATACAATCTGCCCGAGTATATTCATAGTTTTTCAACCATATCCTAAATACGCTTCAGTAATTATGCATAAAACTGTTTGACAAACTTGTAAGCTTGTTTTTGTGGGTTTTTTTCCTACAACTGTCTTAGCTCTTAAATAATCGACTTACTGTATAAAATGACTTTTCATGAGTATTTCCTTCCGAAGTTTAAAGCCATCTAGATCGTTTTAGTGATACAAACTTTCGTGGATATCTCATATAAACAGTAGTGAAATGTATCAATCAAATTCGTTGTATTTATTTTCGTGGTTTTCATAGCAACAACGCAAGCCATGACTGTTTATACAGTGATCAGTGCATGTTATACACAGTGATCAGTCCATGTCACAGTGATCAGTGCATGTTATACACAGTGATCAGTGCATGTTATACACAGTGATCAGTCCATGTTATACACAGTGATCAGTCCATGTTATACACAGTGATCAGTCCATGTTATACACAGTGATCAGTCCATGTTATATTATACACAGTGATCAGTCCATGTTATATACAGTGATCAGTCCATGCTATACACAGTGATCAGTGCATGTTATACACAGTGATCAGTCCATGTTATATTATACACAGTGATCAGCCCATGTTATACACAGTGGTCAGTCCATGTTATACACAGTAATCAGTCCATGTTATACCCAGTGATCAGTCCATGTCACAGTGCTCAGTCCATGTTATACAAAGTGATCAGTGTATGTGATACAGAGTGATCAGTCCATGTTATAGACAGTGATCAGTCCATGTTACAGAGATCAGTCCATGTCACAGTGATAAGTCCATGTTATACACAGTAATCAGTCCATGTTATACCCAGTGATCAGTCCATGTTACAGAGATCAGTCCATGTCACAGTGCTCAGTCCATGTTATACACAGAGATCAGTCCATGTCACAGTGATCAGTCCATGTTATACACAGTGATCAGTGTATGTTATACAGAGTGATCAGTCCATGTTATACACAGTGATCTGTCCATGTTATACACAGTGATCAGTTTCATGTTATACACAGTGATCAATCCATGTTATATTATACACAGTGATCAGTCCATGTTATACACAGGGATCAGTCCATGTTATACACAGTGATCAGTCCATGTTATATACAGTGATCAGTCCATGCTATACACAGTGATCAGTGCATGTTATACACAGTGATCAGTGCATGTTATACACAGTGATCAGTCCATGTTATACACAGGGATCAGTCCATGTTATTCACAGTGATCAATCCATGTTATACACAGTGATCAGTCCATGTTATATACAGTGATCAGTCCATGTTATACACAGTGATCAGTCCATGTTATACACAGGGATCAGTCCATGTTATACACAGTGATCAGTCCATGT